ACCATCACTTCCAAAATGAATTATTTTTTGAGAGGTTATTTCTTTGTCATCACAAAATGATATTATTTGATTAAAAATATTTTCTCCATCAGTTGATTCCAAATCAATCATTCCCAAATATCTCATGTATGGTATGTTATCCACCATGTATTTTCCTAAAATTGCTAAATACTTATTATTAATAGTATTTGTCTCATCAATCATAATGCTCCAATATGGAGATGAATTCAATTCTTCAAAAAGTTCTTTTTGTATTACAGAAACTATACATTCTAAAAATTCAGAACCAGATTTATTATTAGCATAACTCCCATATGTTGATTTAGATAATGATGGCTTTGCTATGGACGCAGGTTTTAAATTGAATTTTTTATCATTAGTAACTTTGTTTTTTGTCTGCAAGAACATTAAAATTGCACATATCAGGATATACATTCAATGAAATATTTTTTTTTGAACAAAAATAAATAATTTGCATCAATGAAACTATTGTTAATTTTTTGGTGCTCAATTGATTTATAAACCCTATCTCAAATAATTCAAACTTTTTATGTGCATTAGAATTTGAATGTTTTTTAATTTCCTGATAGTCTTAAATTAGATTAACCTTTTGCAAAATTGGTATTCCCATTTTGATCTCTACAGATTTTGCAATATAAGATTGTTTTTTCATTGGAAACTTCAACTTCTAACCATGGACATAATTTAAACCATTCAGGATCAATGGTTTCTCTATTATGTGATTTTTGTTCATCTCCAGAACTTATAGTATTATCACTACCAATTGATTCATCATCAGATATCTCAAAAATTTCCATTTGGTGAACTGGAGTATTATGAACTTTGGCAGAAAAATCAATTGATGAAGTTGATTGTTCTAATGTTTTATTTTTTTTAGGATTTGAATCTTCATCAATGAATAAAATTCTTTTAGTAATTTGTTTATTAGACATTTTTAATTAAAATTTTTTTATATAGTAAGTGTAAGAATTATTTTTCAAAAGTCAAAATTAAATATTCTACTAACAAATATTTTAATTGTTGTAAAATATGAGTCATCTTTATTACCTTAAAAGATGTCTTTTTTATAATAAAATTAAATGGATTGATAATATAAATAAAATATAAATAAACATAAATAAAATAAATTGAAAGAGACGCGAACTAAATAAATTAATGTTACAAATAACGCTTACAAAATATATTTTTATTTGGTACTACGTATTATATATAATTTGCACATAAAATGTTCCACAATTTTTGTGTAACTTGCTGCGTCCGCACCCTCCGCACCCTGAATTTCCAACACTGGATAGATGACATAAATTTTCCAAAATTAAATTAAAAAAATCACCAATAATAATTTATAAAATAAATTAATATTATTGGATTGTGAGAAGCTGGCAATTGATTTGTCCTTTTGTTATGCAGAAAGAGGGAACTCGCGTATTTCTACCCTTGGCGTAGAAATTTACTAGTTTATTTAGATGACCTTCCTCCTTCATCCTTTTGCCCTTTTTTATCAAGTTCAAAATTCCTTTTTAGTTTACTACATTATTTCACTCAAAACAATTTAATAACATAATCTTTCCTCAATACTATAAAAATAAACAATTTTTTTCTTTTTTCCTCAATTAAATTAAATAAATTAAAGAATGAGAGAAATTATTCACCTTCAAACTGGTAGGTTTAATTTAATATATCTATTAATTATAAATATTTAGCAAAAAAATCTAAACTAAACGTTGGACTTATTAATAATAATAACTTGTTATTGCCCTACAATCCGGGCTTCTGTTTTCCCGTATTTTTTTATGTGAAGGTCAATGTGGTAATCAAGTAAGTACATTTATTGTTTGAACTTTTTTTTCTTTTTTTTATTAAATAAAAAAATAATAATTTAAAATCTGTCCCAAGGGTTTCAACAAAGCCAAGCTATTACTTATTTATAATAACAAAACGCGTCGTTTTATTAAATTTGGTAATTTATTATCTTTCTGGTCTTTATTTATTTTCTTAGATCGGCCAAAAGTTCTGGGAAGCAATTTCTGCTGAACATGGACTTGACCCTTCAGGCTCTTATCATGGCGATAGTGACTTGCAACTTGAACGTATCAATGTATACTATAATGAAGCTATGGGCGGAAAATATGTACCTAGGTTGGTGTTATTATTATTTATTACCATGCTTGATGTTTTGGTTTTCACTACAATACATGATCTTATCCTCATTTTATTAAATAATAATATATTATATACATTCTTTTATAGAGCCATCCTTATTGATTTGGAACCTGTTACAATGGACTCCATTCGATCTAGTCCATATGGTCATCTTTTTAGACCAGATAATTTTGTATTTGGTCAATCTGGTGCTGGTAATAATTGGGCCAAAGGATATTATACTGAAGGTGCTGAACTTATTGATTCTATCTTGGATGTTCTTCGAAAAGAATCCGAATCTACAGATTGTCTTCAGGGTTTTCAAGTAACTCATTCTCTTGGAGGCGGAACCGGTTCTGGTCTTGGTTCTTTACTTTTGTCTAAAATTCGTGAGGAATATCCAGATCGTATGTTATGTACATTCTCTGTGGTCCCGTCACCAAAAGTATCTGACACTGTTGTGGAGCCTTATAATGCTGTGCTTTCAGTACATCAATTAGTAGAAAATAGCGATGAAACTTTCTGTATTGACAATGAGGCTTTATATGATATATGCTTTCGGACACTTAAATTAACAAATCCATCTTATGGTGATCTTAATCATCTTGTATCTGCTGTCATGAGTGGTATTACTACTTGCTTAAGATTTCCTGGACAATTAAACAGTGATTTAAGAAAACTTGCTGTAAATATGGGTAAGTAATTTGATATATATTATGTTTGATTATCATAATTATTTCATTGTGATAATAATTAAAGAAATCAATATATATGTACATATTCTTTCAGTACCCTTCCCACGTTTACATTTCTTTATGGTCGGATTCGCTCCATTGACTTCTCGTGGTTCACAAGGTTTTCGTGCTCTCACAGTAGCTGAATTAACAGCTCAGATGTTTGATGCACGTAATATGATGGCTGCTTCAGATCCACGTCATGGCAGATACTTGGCAGTAGCTACTATATTTCGTGGTAAAATCTCAACTAAAGAAGTTGAACAACAAATGCACACAATTCAAACCAAGAATAGTTCATATTTTGTGGAATGGATCCCATCTAGTGTTAAAACAGCTGTTTGTGATATTCCTCCAATTGGTCTTACAATGTCTGGAACTTTCGTTGGAAACAGTACAGCAATTCAGGAACTCTTCAAACGCATTAATACACAATTCACTGCTATGTTTAGGAGAAAAGCTTTCTTACATTGGTACACTGGTGAAGGTATGGATGAAATGGAATTCACTGAAGCTGAATCTAACATGAATGATTTGGTTGCTGAATATCAACAATATCAAGAGGCTGCAAGTAATAATCTTATTTATTATTGTTGTTGTTGTTGTTGGGATAAGTCGTTATTATTTATTTCTATTAATTATAATTTATAATTTGATTTTGCTTTATTTTCAAGCTGAAGAAGACGGTGATGATGGTGAATATGAAGAAGGTGGTGAAGAATATGCCGGCGAAGAAACAGCTGAATAAACTTTTAATATAATGGAAAGTAAAGAATAAATTCAAAGACATTTTTTTTATTATAAAAAAATTATATATATACATTACCCTCCAAAGGTATTCAAATGTGAAGTTTTTAATAATCACACAAAATGCCACATAATAATAAAATTTATATCATTAGGTAGCTTAGATTTTGAGAAGTTTACACCAGAAATTTTCATTGTTTTATAATCTATTTTTAATAATTTTGTATTTCTCAATTTTAAATTTTATATATAGTAAAATTTAATAAAAATTAATAGCTTGTAGTTCAAATTTTTAATTAAAAATAAACTGAAACTGAATAAGAAAACTTTTTAAGTCCAATAATAGGTAGGTGGTGGTAGTTCTAATTAAAATCGCAGACACTTAATATTTCAAAGATAAGTGGTTGCCCAAAGTCATTGAAAGATCAAAAATTTTTAGGCGCGGTTCTTAAAAAAAATTCAAAGTGATTTTGTACATCAAAAAATACGATTTATTACAAATTTGTAATTTTTTCTGAGTTGCCCTCATTAGCAAAACAACAAAATGAGAATCGGTTGAAGTGGCGTATATTGATAGAAGAAATTGAACAGTGAGACCCAAATTATCTAATACTAATGATATAAATTTTATATTATGTGACATTTTTAAAACTTCGTTTGGATACTTTTACGATTAATTATTATCATACATATTATAAAAAACGAGCTTTCTCTCCTATTATTATTATATTATTATTATTATATCCTTCCTTATCATACATATGAAAAATGCCTTCTCAATCAGCAAAATTTTTAGTTATTGGTGTTTAGCTATCTAATATCTAATATTTCAAATACTTCTCTTTACACACATTAGATATAGAATGATAATACAAAATGGGCTATTTTAAATTTATCATATCGACTTTGACATTTAATAATAATTATTATTTCTTTTTAATTTTTTCGATGCTTTTTTTTCTGATGTTTTTTTTTTTGATGATTTGTTTTTACTATTTAAAAAATCTTTGGATCTTGATTCTACTTCACTAGATTTATAAATATCAATATTGATAAAAGTTAATTATTATATTACATTATTATTATTATTATTATTAAAAAAAGAAAACACTTTACTTTTTCATATCCAAAGTAGAACCTTTAACAAAATTATTATATAGAAAATTAGAATGTGGTTTTTTTTCATTGTTTATATTTGAATAATGTGATTCAACTGTACTAATAATTCCCATTTTATTTCTTGGAATTTCAGGATTTTTAATCGTTTTAGTCATCGTTATTTCCTAATGAAAATAATGTTAATAACAAGTGTGTACATATACAACATATGAATATATATTTAATTACTCCATCCAAGTTTTTAGAAACTTCTATATTATCCAATGATTTATTATAAACTTGAGTCCACCATTCGAATGACCAATCTTCTGTCAATCCAAGCTTTTTTTTTAAATAAATAGACATACATTTATTATTATTATCATCTCTATTATTAAACTGTTAAAATAAAACTGTACCCCTCGAGTATTCTTTTTATTTGAAATTATTATAGGATTTTTTATTCCATTCGAATTCTTTCCCAATCCTTGACCTCGGGTCCAGCCATATTTTTTTAATTGTGTTTCAGCAAAACTCATTTTTTTAATGTTGTACAAAATTTCTTTTTTATTTGAACATAATAAATAATAAATGATGATTTTTTATTAGGGAAAAAGTTGTTAAATATTAATATATTATTTATATAAAATATACAGCGTATGTTAAACATATCATGCTAAAGTGGCACTTGGGTGTTTGTGCTTGAAGTTGGTGATGGCTGGTCACTAGGCCAAATTCCATCTCTTTTCCATCCGCTAACTAATACTTTGATCTTAAAAGAAGAAAAATTAATTTATGGAGAAAAACAAAATAAACATAGCATTATAAATTTATTCATTACCACATATGGCAAAGGAATAGGTTTTGACAATTTTTTCTTTCCATAAATCAATGAATCATATATTTTATTGTAATTTTTTGGCGTAAAATTAACCAAAGCTGGATTATTTTTATTACTGAAAGGCCCTGAACCATCTGAATTTTCACGAGTCCATAACTCTCTCTGTCTATTCCAGTATTCTAAACCTGACTCATTCTTTGAACAACAACAACTATTATCAACATTATTATTATTTTCAACAGTTATACTCGCCTCTATTAAAAAATCTAAATTGGTATTGTTGGTTGTAGTTGTAGTGTATACTGGTAAATTATTTTCAACAGACCCTTCCTGAAAATTGTGTAATCTTTGAGGTTTACTGGAATCAGCACTTGTTAATTTTAAAATGTCATTGTTAAATGAAAAATTATCTTTAAGATTTCTTTTCTTTACTTCTTCATTTCGATTATTGTTCAAGTTATTAGTTTCAATCCTAGTATTGGGGAATCTAGACATTGCTCGTTTTTATGAAATTATGTCATAATAATGATATTCTTATTTTTTTTCCCCTTTTTAAATAAATGTGTCAATCGTAACCTTTTCTACCCAATTAGAAATTTGTAAAACTAAAGATAATATACTAATACATATATAGAAGCATAGTGGAAATTTGAAATGTTACACTAATTTTTTATATTGTGCAACGTATCTTTACAATACACAGCAAACATTCTGGCAATAAAAAGTAAGTGATAAACTGGATTTGAATTGGATCTGAACTTGATCTCCAATTTAGAGAGGTAACAACTATATACTGGTGAAGTTTCAGAAGCAATGAGTTCTGTATAACGTTTCGTTTAATAACAAACTTCCACTATGCTAGGTCAAATCCAAAGGGTATTTATACCTCTTGGAGTGTTACAAATAACATGACTTTTACAATATTTTATCCAATAATATATGCTAAATTAATTAATAATTATATGTAGTGATGGGCGTAAAAATTATTTTGAAAAATGACAGTTATTAAGTACTTAATAACTCTATTGATGACTTATTAAGTGTTAAAAAGACAAACAAGTAACTAGTTATTAATAACTTGGAGTTATTAAGTGTAGGGTTAGAAATTCCCATCACCACCTGCAGATCCTCCCATTGGCTGATCTGATAACTACAATTGACACGTGATACCACTACTCTTGCCAGGATACCTCTATTAAAATGTGTCCAAACAATGTTGAGAAGTCTTTCAGAAATCTTAGGATTTGGCAAATAAAGGTTTCGAGAATCAAAATTTTTTGACATAATTAAAAAGAAATATTTCAGGATTTCGAATCTCAATATTAATTTGAAATTCTAATTGATTGAAATCAAATTATTTTCGATTTCGCCATCATGAACATTTATTTATAGATTTATAACGCCCCAACTGGTAGTAACTAAATACACTTGCCGTAAATTATTGGGTCGGTAGCTACCATTGCCGTAAATAGCTGTTGGTAGTTACCATTTGCCGTAAATAGATACGGCTGTCGCAAATAGATGCAATTGCCGCAAATAGCTACGGCTGCCGCAAATAACTACGACTGCTGGAAATAGTTTTCAATTATTGTCATTAGTATTAGTCATATTAGTCATGCGAAAATTTTCTTGAATTATTGTTCTGCAGATTTTATTCATTTACAGTGAATAGTGAAATTATGAAAAACAGAAAATTGCAGCAGTCGTATCTGTTTGTGGCAACCGCATCTATTTGCGGCAGTCGTATCTATTTACGGCAGCTGTATTTTATTTGTGGCAACCGCATCTGTTTGCGGCAGCCGTATTTATTTGCGGCAGCCGTAAATAACCAATTACGGCAGGTGTCTTTAGTGGTGACATAGGTCGTGTACCTTTAAATGCAGAGGGAATTGATTTTTCGCACCAATTTACTTCTGTGAAAAAATTTCAAAAATTTTTTTTTACTGAATAATATATATTTATATATAAAGAAAAAAAAAGAATTTAAATATAATTGAATGAAAAGAAAATAATATAATACAAGAAAAAAAATGCGGAAAAAAATGTAATCAAAAATCATCTTATAATAATAATAGTAATAATAATAATAATAATAATAATAATAGTAATAATAATAATAGTAATAATAATAGTAATAATAATAGTAATAATAATAATAATAATAATAATAATAATAATAATAATAATAATAATAATAATAATAATAGCGACGAATGTAAATGAATACATATGAAAATCTAGTCTCTAAAAATTTATAATCATTAAAAATGAATTGGAGTTTAATAATGCGTTAATAAATAAATTTATCCAACCAAACTTTTTACCATATTTATTTTTGCCCACATATATATCATTCAAAAACGCAATAATAAAAATAATAATATCAACCAAGAGTAATACAAATATATCAATAAGTCAATAAATCAATCAATAATAATTAAATAATTAAATGAATTGAAAAAATAAATGAAATATAAATTAAATTTGATTTCTCCCAATTACGACACTGAAAATATGTCATCACCATATTCTGAGCCTGCATGACTACCAGCAGGACTTGTACAATAAAGGGAACTATTACCGTCCATATCATCATCCGAAACATGGCCCATTGGTGACCCCGGTGATGGACTTGGCGGTAAAGGTGTATTTACGGCTTGATTAAATGAGCTAAAAGGTGATACTCTACCGGACAACATAGGATTGTTCAAGAAAGCACTGGTTTGTGATGTGTGACTTGTGATATTTGTGTTAACAGTTAATGGTGTCGATGGTCGTTGTGGTGACTGATTTTGACTGGATATAAGATGATAATTTATATTTGTATGGTTTTCTGGTGATGTTATATATATTGGAGGTCGTTCAGGTTCGTTTTTGATTTCAAAACTATCGAAGTTAAAGTCGAATGGAACTAAATTGTATAAATCCGTTTATCAAACACAAAAATAAAATTTTTCTCTTAATATTTTTGTTCATCCTTACTTTATCGCTAATATTAATATTAAAATTCTAATTAATTAAAATTGGTACTTACTCGTTGTTGAAGTTCCTTGACTATTATTCATGACCTCCCACATATTCTTCATAAAATGTTGTTGTAAGGTTTGTTTACGTTTAGTTTCAGACAAATCTCTCATGACTTCAGTAAAATTTTCTTGTAATTGCCTAATCTGTTGTAATAATTCATTTTGAGCAACTTGCATCATAGCAAGATGAGCATGTAAATCACCAGTTTCACGTCTTAAAGTTTCAGATTCCATTGCTTTACGTTTAATATCATCTAATAAATCTGGTCTTCCTCGTAAAAATTTTGGATGAGAAAATTCCCAAATTTGATTTTCTGCCAACGTACGATGTCCGCGAGGTGATTTATTAACTTTATGGAATCCATACCTTATAATTTTTTTAATATATATATATAATTAACATATATAAAATCATCAAATTTAATAATTGAAATATAAACTTACATGTTAAGTTGTCTTACAAAGCTTGAAAAATTGTTGTGTTTAAAATGTTTTGGTAAAACGTCACGAGAAAACTCCATAATGTTACAAACAATAAAGGAAGAGCCGGTGTAGTTCCAAGCAATAAGATGTTGATATTGTTTATCAACAACCATGCTTTAAAGTTCAGTAATTCACACATACATATATAAAATATATTTGAAAATAGATGTAAAGATCGAAAACAAAGGAAAAAAAAGATATTGAGCAAGGATTTATTATATGACTTTTTTAAAAAAAAATTAAATATTATCATAAAAGATTAAATGCTATTTATTAAGTACAAAAAAAAGATTAAAAAAACTTTCTTTATTCTTTTTATTATTAAAGAAAAAAAGAAAACGCATACTTGTAAAGCTTATGAACAAAAGTATTACTACTCATCTTGACAGGTTGTGCAGATGGAGGTTGAAGAGACATAATTTGTGAACTATTGTTTAGTTGACTTGTGGGAGTTGTTGGAGAAGTGCTAAGGACTGAGGGCGATGAAGGTATAGATGTTATATTGAGTGCGTTCATTTGACCGCTTGAAACAGTATTATTTACAATGATAATGTTTTCTTGATTGTTTCTTTTTAGAAAATTTTTTTTTTGATATAAAGTTTTTTTTTAATCATTATATGAATTTTCAATGGCCATAAAGACATGCTGCGTATTTTTAAATATGGCACTCTGTTTCCGTGGTACAAAATTTTAAATACTAACGCCACAATTGTACATGTGTACTACGTACAAAATTAAAACCTTCTATTCTCAGTCAGGAATTTTCCAAATTTGAAAATCTATTCTAGAATTTTTTGTTGATCAATTCATATACAGTCATACCTCTTTGTATCATACTTTTGTGGGATATAATTGAGGTGAGATATATCTCAAGCAGTTGATCATTTCATGTGACTTTTAATTTTTTTTATTCAATATTAGTCGTGGGACATTGCAGATCAAGTGTCATTCAATATAAACGTTACACAAATAAAATTATTATCATCCACTTC